TTTGTTACTAACACTTCATGGATCCCTGTTTTCCGTAATAAAGATTTATTATTATTGTATGTTTTGTGTTTTTGGTGATTTTTTATCCAATGTATACCTTACTGTTATTTTAGGCTGACTCGATATAATGCCACCATTGTGGGGGACTCTATTAATGAATTACTAAATACTATATAATATAATAATAAAATATGTCTACGACCACACGCTTTTCTCTCAGTGGACAAAGCAAAAACTAGTGACCGTCACTTGCTACACCCCTGGCATAATTATTATTTGGCTTCCTCCTTTCATGACCGCTCTTTTCATACACGTTCGTTCATTCTGGTATGTACCTAAGTACTGTTCATTTGAGCTTTATTAAGGATATCCTCAATCTTGTTGAGTTATGTACTTCTAAGTCTATTCGATAGAGAGTATGTCTTCTGTTCGAAGATGCATGTTTTAGGGTCGTATTCTAGAACTGTGTGTGCGTTATTATTATTATAACTCTACTCAATGCTCAAGTCAGGATTGCAATTGAAACACAAGCACTGGAAATACGACCCTAATGGCAGGGACTTGAGTATGATTTCGAGTGCTTTGGATCATACTCAAGCCCTGACTTGAGCATTGAGTAGAGTTCTAGAATACGACGCTAACGACGCTTCGTTCGCATCATGCATATTTAAATTTGGTCGAGTATTACTTATTTGACAATAAGTGTTTAGTAGCAGTAGAGCTCCTTGTGAAAGAGTTCATCCAGGGTAGTACTACCACCTTATATATTTCTGCCGCCAACAAGCAGTAATGTCAGCATTACTGTGTTCCGGTTTGAAATGGTAAGGATGCTGATGAAGAATCATAATTTAAAAAGTTAGTAAATTAAATTATAGTCAACTTATATAAATATTTTTATTTAATTTTAATGGAGTAATCAAGTATTTCAAAAGAACTACCGTAACCCCTAGACACTTTTGATGTATGTCTGTATATATGTCAAAATTTACAAGCCGTCAATAAAACGAGGACATAAAAAAAGACAAAAATAAACATTTACTTGGTCTAGATTTCCAGACAGAACTGAGAATAAGTCACAGGTCACAGATTACATAATAACATTCGTAAAATGATGTGAGTTACAGGCACAAGAGACGTGTCAACATATGTCTATGGGTGACTGGCGCAGTGGCAGTGCCCCTCAGGTCTTTGCGATTTAAAGCTCGTGAGTTGCACTGCAACTTAACCTAATCTAACCGAACCTAATCGTGTCTTTGCGATAAACATCCAATAGACAGTATAACCAATATATCCTGAAAGAACAACGGTTTCGTTATAATTCGGTTTTCGGGGTGATGAAAATTCGAACGAACGTTATTTCGGAAAAAATAAAATTGAGTTTGTGGTATTTTACCGCGTGTAGCAACCACCAGACGCACGACTTGTTCGTCCCGTCACTTGATATTATAAAAAAAAAATTATTCCGGAAGAATGTCGGTCGAAGAACGAAAATACAGGGCCTGGTTAGTCGTGATGATTGTATTTTAAATAGATGACGTCAAAACATCGTATTTAGTATTTTCAATACACCTCGTAAATGTATGTTGTATTTTGTACTTTAAATGTATATATACAATAAGAAAGTATTTTGCTCAGCCCTGTGTAATATAAAGTTAAACACTTTCTCATTACGAAAACACACATTGACTTTAGGTCAATGTATAACAAAGTTCAACGTACGAGAGCACACTATTGTGATAAGATCCTTCGAACAATAATATAAATTACTTTAAACTGGATTTATCCCCTAATTTGCTACCCTTAGAGGAGGAATAGATAAAAAGTGAATAGGTGAAAAGAATCATCGAAATCGGTTCAGAAATATCGGAGTAATTGCCTAACATACACACACAAAAAATACAGTCGGTAGCTCAGTGGTAAGCACTGCGGGCGCTCGATGAAAAAGTCCCGGGTTCGCTTCCCAGAAGGAGCAACGTGGGAAATAAACTTTTTCAAATTATATTTGGTCGTTGTATTTTGGTTACTGCCTCGGAGTTATCGTTGCTCTGGTACTAATCGTACAGGGATTTTTTGCTGTGTATGATACCGAGGGACAGGACGAATTGTGCGCCTGGTATTAAGCGACACGCCGGTCAATAGAATTTGCAGTGCCACTCAGAGCTTCAAATCACAAAAATCTCAGAGGGGCACTTTCACTGCGCCTGTCACCCTAATGTTTGTAATTTCACTAGCACCCTGACCCTTCAAAATCGCAACTCAGTAATGCTCGCATCACTGCTTGGCGACAGAAATCAGTACGGTGGCAGTATTTCCCTGGACGAACTCTTATCACAATGCGCTCTAATGTTACTAAAATACCCTATCTATTTGTATAACAAATGAGCGAGTTACAAAGTCCAAAGAATATGACGGAACAGCACAGACACAACGGACTTATTATATTCCCGCAGCATCTAATTAAGTTTAATATGATAATAGTAATAGTACGATAGTAATACTTACGATAGTAGTACCTTACCTATTTCTGCCGCCAAGCATTGAAGTGAAATTACATGCACATCGGACTTGTCAACTTATTGCTCAGGGTGACAAAAGCTAGGCACTGCAACTGTTGTATTGTAGGTAGACGTGTGTCTTACCACTAGAAGCACGACTTTTTTTGAGAAAGTCAACCACAAAAGTTCTTAGAATTACATCTATTTGCCAAGTTTCATCAGTTTCATGGGACCAATACTGAGGTACCATCTTTCCAACAAAAGAATCATCAAAATCGTTTCACAAAAGAGTTATCGCCTAACATACAAAAAAACTTACGTAATAGAGAACTCCCCCTTTTTTTAAGTCGGGTAAAAAAAAAAGTGAGTTAAAAATGACACAACATTATAAGCAATTGTTTTTAAATAAAAATCAATTACATCGAGTTTTCGCGATTGTGACACGTATGAAATGAAATAATTTTGTTGCATTTCAACCGTGTATATTTGTTTTTTTAAAACAAACCAACATTTCGAGACGTTTACAAGTCCCATGGTCACGGATGACTGACCACGGAACATGTAAAAGTTCCGACACGTTGGTTTATTTGAAAAAACAAATATACGCTATTTAGATCCCAATAACCTCAATACAGAATACTAAAAAAACCAACCTCAAAAATCATTCATCCCCTAGTTTGCCACCCTTAGAGGTGGAATATTTCTTGACATTTAAATGGAACCGTGCTGAGGTACCTCTTTCCAACAAAAAAATCGTCAAAACCGGTTCACAAATTATCGCGTTATCGCGTAACATACATACAAAAAAACAGTCGATTTGAGACCCTCCTCTTTTTTTAAAATCGGTTAAAAAATAATTATCACTAGTATCAGGTTTCTTACCACGGTATGACTTCTTTTTATTTTCCCGATATTTTGGACTTTATTGTTGACTGACTGAGTCAACCCGTGACCATGGAGCGTGCAACCGTTCCGAATTGTCGGGAAAATAAAAAGAAGTCATACCGTGGTAAAAAACTTGATACTAGTGATAATCATTTAGTGAATAACCACGAAAGTCTTAAAATCTATATGGTTAAAAAATAGTATCATTTCTTAAAAAAAACAGATGCCTAAGAGAGTTACGTTACAAACCAAAACCAACATAAGCGTGATGGCTCATTCGAGTTCGAAGTTCGACCGATGCAGTGAAGATCGGTTATCATAAATACAGAAAATCACTCTTATGCACACAATAGTCCACTGTAGCGAGATCATAAGCGTGACTGTTACTAACCGATACGCTCAAATGAGCTCGCAGTAAGTGGTCGAATAATTTGTGGCTACTATTTACATAACAGAAGCGACATACAAAACCGATTGACTCTCAGATGCTATTTACCTACTTACATATTTTGACCGAACGAATATTTCAAAAAAAAACTGCTAGTCTGTGTTTTGCCATTTCATTAGAATGATGCGGATGTTATCAAAGCAAAATTTATTCGTTTTTCAGCTTATTGTGCAATGTAAGTTGTACTTATCTTTTGTTAACCTGAAAAATTAAAAAAAAAAAAACGAAAAATCCTTCATTCAAAACGCTATTTTTAATGTTACAGTGTATTGTTGTGACGCGTTAGTGTTGAACGTGTAACTAAATGACGACATAGAAGAACTATTTTATTTTGAGAACATTTACAGAACATATTATAAAATGTAATGTAATTTGTTTTTGTTACTGGCTTCTAGCGCATTTTGCTCGTGCACATGCAATTTTTCGAATTTGAGAAGTACAACCTATGTCACACATACTGTCACGATTCTGTTACCTTTACAACCTTCAAAGAAATGAAGTGCGCACTCATAACGTGAAACTTACCTTTAATTAGGCCGAATCTGCAAAGGTAAGGTCAGGAAAACGGAAAGTCTTAACCAGGGTTCGATATTATCAAGATATTTATTTTGTTGATAATTATCCGTTATAGGTGTATATCCGATAATTATCCATGCTGTTTTGTCTCTAATTAAAAATACAAACTGTGGGAAAAGTAAATAAACACGAAGACAAACCACAGGGAAAACGATTTGGTTTGGGAGTTTATTTTAAACTGACATTTGACACATTTGTATACTTCTCAGGGGTCTCTACTCAACCAAATTACAAAAACCATGATGCGAATGACACTTCATACTTGACATTGTCATTTAGATCGAGTATTAGTTATTTAATAATAATTGCTTCGGGCGGATTTTTTTCCATCCTCTAAGGGGCGGAGTCGGACGGAGGACGAGAGTACAGGACCTGATACAAACACATGCCATGACATTCCTAGCGGTAACATTTTGTTGTTCCAATTAGTTTTATAAATGTCAAGCTGTGTTCATCATGACAATTATCAATATCGATATCATTTCGAATCGTGCTTAAAACTTATAACGTCATATCTGTTTTCTTATTCTTTGAAACGCAACCATTTGCCCAGCCAGAGAAAATTGTATGAGTGTAAATGTTGAGTTCCTTGATAATACACATCAGTAACCATGGAGAAGGTAGACAGTGAACCCGTCCCTTTTCGTCACACGCTAGTGAAACATAATGTGATCAAATTCGCATACATGCATATCGCGGCTTTGTATGGAGTTTATCTGTGCTTCACCTCTGCAAAATGGCAAACGTTGTTGTGGGCGTTTTTACTGCTGGAATTTGCAAAAATTGGGATCACTGCTGGAGCTCATCGGCTGTGGTGTCATCGGTCCTACAAAGCCAAGTTGCCATTGGAGATAATCCTCTTGATTTTTAACAGTATCGCTTACATGAACACGGCAACATACTGGGTAAGGGATCATCGCGTACACCACAAATTTGCTGACACAGATGCTGACCCGCATAATGTGAATCGAGGATTTTGGTTTTCGCAAATCGGTTGGCTGTTCGTCCGTAAACATCCCGACGTTTTGGAAAAAGGGAAGACCGTTTATATGGAAGATATTCACAAGAATCCGTTATTAAGGTTTCAAAAAAAGTATGCCTTCTTCGTTATTGGTTTATGGGCATACGTTATACCCACTGTCGTGCCAATGTATTTTTGGAACGAGTCATTCAACAATTCTTGGCATATTTGTACTATGCTTCGTCATGTTCTAACCATCAACCAAATTTTCCTAGTGAACAGCATCGGACATAGCTGGGGTAATAGACCTTACGACAAGAACATCAAGGCTGTCGAAAATATAGCGGTGTCACTGATGTCAACTGGTGAATGTTTCCATAATTATCATCACGTCTTTCCATTTGACTACAAAGCTTCTGAACTTGGAATGACAAAATTCAATGCCGCCACCATGTTCATTAATTTCTTTGCGTGGATTGGCTGGGCATACGATTTGAAAACTATACCTGATGAATTAATCATTGCACGATCAAAAAGAACTGGCGATGGTAGAAATCTTTGGGGCTGGGGTGATGTGGATCAAACCGAGGAAGAAACTAAAGGCGTTAAATACTTGTATACGAAAAAGTGATTGTATTTTTTCATCACATAAGTATTTTTAAGAATAGTTTTGTATTTTGTTGTAGCAAAACCATTTACGCCATAAAGTAATAGGTAGTCGGCGTGTGTGATTATTGTTGTGGATCAAACAGATGAAAAACCAAAGCCGTTAAATACATATTTGTGTACGAAAAAATTATTGTATTTTTTCAACAAATAAATATGTTTCAAAATAATTTTGTATTTCGTCTAGAAGTGGGCCAAATATTCGTTTTAGTTCGGTATTCGGCATGTTCGGCACAATAATCGAACATTCGTATACGGCCGATTATTCGGTAAAAATGCCGAACTTTCTGCCGAACATACTTTTTGCGGAAAATTAAATCGTTTAGGTATATACCTACCTGACTGATCAGTTAATACGTACATCTAAAAAATGATAATGAATGCTTCTAATTCTAAGAAATGATTGCTTTGGATAATCAACTGATCTCAAATGTAGAAAATATAGGTTTCAATAGACTGATGAACCTCATTAAACCAAAATATCAAATACCGAGCCGGAATTTTTTTTGGATAAAGATGTATTCTTCAAATCTATACAAAAATAATCCATCTATTTTTTTCTCTTAATGCATAGTTTTTTAGTAATTAAATAAACCAATAATGTGTACTGCAGAAACCCTATTCTATAATAAATTATAATGAAACATGCTTTCACACTTAAAATCAGGTTAGTTAGTTAGATCCTCTAAGAAATAATCGCTTCGTGATTGATGTGTTTCTGTCAGTGGTATTGTATATTGTTGTCGCCACAACAAAATATAACATTTCATGTAATTAAAACAAGCCAACAGACTAAGATAAAAAAGAAACAGGAAAAATAATAATATCGTCAGCTAAATTTGAAAACCTCGTAACTCCGTTTTTAAACGCAAACCTCACACGGTTACGAGCTTTTCGAATTTAGCCGACAATATAATATTATTTTTAAATTTTATGTGCAATAATAAACGGAAACAACTTAATTACCGGCTTAGTCAGGAGTCATTATTTTGATAATTGAGAATCATGATCGAATTAGTTAATGCGGAAAGCAGACGGCTTATTAAATTGTTTTTGTAATAATTACAAAACAACACTTAATAACATTAGCCAAGATTATGGTGTTGTAAAGCACATGATATAAACAATAAACCGAATTCAGGTACATTAAGTTTGACGTGAAGTGTAACATAAAAATTCTCCTATTATGTCATATAAATAATAATTATGATAACATTAAATATAATTCGTTTAATAATTTGGCGTATTTTCGATTCAAATGAATATTTTTCTTCTACAAATGGATCTATTTCATTAAAATGATTATTACTTATATCTCCTGACTGATCTTGTGACTAACGAGTTCATGGCATAGTTTGTGGAGTGAAATGATGAAATGGCATATGAAACAGAGAAGTGTGTCTAGTACGCCGCGCAGGTACGCGTAGGTAAGTACTAAGTCCGGGCAGTCCAATCGTTCATGGAGCACATCGAACAAAAGACCCATGTCGAACAACTCGCGACCGCAACGAGATAACAAAATAAATTGTAAGCTCGACAGATATCGATATAAAAGGAGATTGATTATTATTTTATTGGCTTTACGTTTGGTTATTGACTTTTGGTGTTGTGCCCGTTTTTTTTGTATCATAATAACATAGTAATAATATCATTAATTGTTTATTCCTACGTTATCGTCAATGAATTGTTTCTTTCGTCGTTAAAGATTATATCAATAGATATAGATTAATCGATTTCTTTTCTCTCGATTTCGTATCGTTAAGTCTCTAGAAATTTCAAATCCCATCCCAAACGTCATTGAAATGTCACTGTAACCGTACCAAATTGTTGTTTAAAATCTATATTTGTAAATCACAAATTTTAAAGACACAGAACTATATATCTTTGTAATTTGTGACCGTACTTGTGCTACATGAAAAACTTTACAGATCTGCCTTTGTCACTCAATCTATCTATGCTCTGTGTGATGAAATCAAGACATGTTGCTGCTGCTTTCACCTAGTCATTTCAATTCTATTTTTAAAGTTGATTCATGTAGTTTTTAACCGACTTCAAAAAAGGAGGAGGTTCTCAATTCGACTGTATGTTCTTTTTTTCTTTTTTTTTGTATGTATGTTACGCCATAACTCCGGTATTTGTGAACCGATTTTCATGATTCTTTTTTGTTGTACATCATTTCATTTTGAGGAAAATCATCCACCTCGAAGGGTGGCTGTTCACGCATGAAGATTCATTTTTATAAATAGCGCCTAATTTTAATTTAGGAGCAATTACTTTAATGGTTGATTTTGCTATTTCTCCAATTCAAGGCGTTTTTCTCTCAATATAT